CTCAAGCACAAGGTTATAACTAATATAAACTCTCTCAACACCGCTCTCAAGCACAAGGTTATAACTAATATAAACTCTCTCAACACCGCTCTCAAGCACAAGGTTATAAATCACGCCCAAGTAACTAATATAAACTCTCTCAACGCCGCTCTCAAGCACAAGGTTATAACTAATATATTCACTTTTTTTTTAAATAAAACTGCAATGAAAAACAAACTCACAGTTCACCTGACTACAATGGAATGTCTTGCAGCCAGTTATTATAACGGTTCCCTATACTCTTCAAACCTACTTAGACAATCTCCTAAGTTTTGTTCATTGGCGTCTTAGTAGCGTGCTACTATGATACGTTGGTGATATTTTTTATATAACAACAATACAAACTTTGTTACCAAAATCGATAGGGATCATGTGGGTGTGTTGTGAGGGGGGCGCCACCCGTATGATAGTTGCATTGATGCTTACTGCTACTTGCGGTATTGCGTCTTGTGATGGATCTGCGGGTGTGCTGCGCCTGATTCGACGCATTCTTGTGGTTCTGGTCGATGGAGGTATACAATTAACATCTTAGTGCCGGTGGTAAGCAGGTTTGTTGCAGCAATACGACTTTCTCGTGGACATCGCACACCCATACTGTTTGTGGGCGACGTCGTTGCGCATAGCGATGTGTCGTCTATCTTTCGGATTGGGATGATGAGTGTGTTTGGTAGCACTTTTAAGTGTAACAGGCATACTCAACTTCATGTCTTAGTGCATTAGCGCTATGATACGTGGAGTTTTGTTCATTGGCGTCTTAGTGGCGTGCTACTATGATACGTTGGTGATATTTTTTATACAACAACAATGCCAACTTTGTTACCAAAGTCGATAGGGATCATGTGGGTGTGTTGTGAGGGGCCGCCATCCGTATGATAGTTGCATTGATGCTTACTGCTACTTGCGGTATTGCGTCTTGTGATGGATCTGCAGGTGTGCTGCGCCTGATTCGACGCTCTCTTGTGGTTCTGGTCGATGGAAGTACGCGGGGGGTGATGTCTGCTGGGATGTATGGGGGACCTTGGGATGGTGTAAGCTGACGATAGTCGTATTGATGCTTGTTGCGTTCTGCAGCATTGCGTCTCTGCGATGATTGTTTGGTGGGACGCTATTCTCAATGGCGCTCTCTGCGTCTTGGTTTGACTCACACCTGAGTAGCTTTGCCCAAGTCGGGTCCCTTCATTACGGGGCTGCAGACTGTCTGCCCTCCACAATGTTTTATATAACAATATAATATTATATCTCTGTAACTTTTCCACCTTTGAATGATTGAAGGCAACTTGTTGGTGGGTGAGACAAACATGATTGAAAATGCATTTACTCAACGTCAGTGACACAAACCCTTTCTGATGGCGAATTATTACTCTTATCTTATAACTGCCTTTTGGCTATATCTGCCGGTGTATTGGTTGGTGGAGCATATGTGTCGACCTCTTGCGGGTGGTAGCTGGCGGGAGGATCTGAGGAGACTCTCAAGGCTGCGGCCGAAAGCCGCACAACGTGGGACCCCATTCCCTTGAGGTGAGCGGTAGACTCATGACACGCTCTGCGGCTAGTGGCCGTGCTGATCATGCAATTGGTGGTGATGCCATACACCTACATCACGTCCGCAGGAGCGGCGGTCTGGCAGGTGGTGGCGCTCACGGAGGGTTTACGGCCAGTGTGCCTATTTGCCTAAACCGTGTGACGTACATTCACTGTGGCTGGATTCGTTCGTATTCTGTTTGGCGTTTACACGCATTGACATGCGCGACTACGGTCGATGTTTGTGCTTACGCACTAGCAAGGGGCCAAGCCTCTTTTACTGGTTCGCCAGTTATTTTGCTGTGGACTACGGTCCAGTTCCCGAATTAGCTTTCCCTTCGCGGGGGGAGTGCATCAAAATGGTTGGCGCTCACCGTGCACGGCGTGTGTGGGGCCGTGTACCTCCCCTACATTTTTTTAAATAAATGTAGGAGAGCGAAGCCCTTGTATCGGGTATTTTTGTATAAATATATTGTGAGCCTTTTATAGCGGGAAGGGATAAATAATAATAAATTAATAATGTCAACCTGATACAAGTGGAATAAAGACGTTTTACGTTCTTAACCTTTCTCGATCCCTGTCTTCGTGAACGGGGTTCACTTAGCTTATAAGGCACTACCAACAGCTTTCAATTGCTCTAGTTAATATTCATTCTTTCAAAGGACACCTAAAAGAACTAAGTTACTAAACAAACACAACGTAAATAAGGGTCCTAACTAAGACGATCACGCCAAAATATTAAAAAACGGCCTATTATTAAACCTTTAGAAAGATCATTTAGAAAGATCTAAACATAAGTTATTAATCCTGGTCACATATATTGAATTTTTAATATAAAGGGGAATATAATACATTTATTATTTTATTTATTTATTATTATGAGAGGGGGGAAGCGTTACAATATGTACACCACACGATAAAAAAGCGAAAAATTAAGACATTTTATTAAAAATAAAATAAGAGTATCCCAATCAATCCCAAGTTTTGATGGTTTTATAAGATGGCGCCCTTCCAGTCATAAAAAGACGCGGTCACTGGTCAAATGATGTTTTTATTTATTATGAGCTTGGTCGTGTATTTGTGAAGTCGTGAATGTATTTATTGTGTGTCTGGTGGATTTCTTTGACGATTTGGTTTAAGTTTAGTGATAAGGATAACACAGCATTTCAGAATTCAAATAGCCATCAATAAATGGGTCAATAACCTCGTGACAGTTGACAGCTAACAACATCTATCCGTCATTAATGTTGCACTTTTTGGTGAGAATAAAATATTAAGTGTCATTGAAATAAAGGCAAATTCGTGAATTTGGATGATCAAAAGTGTATCATATTAGTACAAAACTAGGCCTAGTTACGTTTCATACAATTTTGGACCGTCTCCTTTATTGAGGATACTTTGGATTAGATTCATTTTAGCGCTTTGATTGAGTAGTAAACCTCGTAAAACGATTTCATTATAATTTTACAGCCAAATACTCTAGAGTTGCCGCAGGTTTGCGCACTAACGCGCTCCCCTTGTCAAGCAATTGATATGCGGCGTCGGTAACTTTACGATATTGTTACCTAATAATTATAAACTAGGTGTGTTTTGGCGTGAACAGACGTCTGTATAAGCTTGAGCACAATTATCCGGCCGCACGGGTTCACCCGCTATGCTTTAGTCGCTAATGCAGTTTCATCGATCGCCACTGACACTATTTCTGCAAGCGTTGGGTGTTTGTTGGGTTGCGAAAACCGCAGTCGTTTGACTGATTTGATGAGTGTTTTGCTTTTTTATAATTAAGTTTTAACGTTTTAAATAGCACTCACACGCATTTATTCAATTTTCTAGATTTTGTTAAAGTTCGGGGTTTTATGGGTAGTTGTAAAATAAAGAAAAAAGTAGTAGCAGTTTTCACCTTTTCGAAAATATTCTGTAATATTTGGTGACTTAAATTTCGTGTTATTCATTAGCAAAGAATTTATTTTATTTGTGTTTCGTTTTTCTTTAAACCAAATATTTCTCAAGACGGGGCAAGTACATAGCGTCTACGTCCAGCGGTGGACTTTGCGTTCCCTGTACTGCTGTAGATAGTTTGTTGTTAGTAAATTTTTCTCATCTCTGACAAATCTTCCCACCGATCTGAATATTTTACATCTAAGACACACGACTTCTGACTTCTCCCAAGGTAGCTTCTTACACCATCCAAGGTATGTTTCTTTATGACTCTATGGTATAATACCTATTTGTTTTGTATCCTATAACTGCATTCGCCTATAAAAGTTCAAAGCTAGACAAGTTATTACACGAAAGGTCATCCTCCTTATTACGCGAGACCACGTAAGATGAAGGATGTGGCATAGTCGTCAGACTGCGGATTAGAGATCACAGTAACAGATTTTTAGACACCTTAAAAATGTTTCCCATTATGAGTATTCTAGAATAAGTAAATTTAAATAAAAGTACGTGTATTTACTCTATAATCTCCAATTCTCTCCTTTATAAATGACGGCAATACCCAGCCGAAACCATATTCAAGTTATTAAAGATCACGCAGTCACGTATACATATGCACTAATATCATTTGCACCCAAAGGGGTTTAAACCCCTTATTGTATTAGGGGTAGGTTCGTATGTGTGCGTTAAACGTATATGTGCGTGATGGCGTGTCAAATGTATGCAGTGCTTAGTCTATCTTTTTTGCTAGTCTGAGACTTCTGATATGTAACTCAATACAGACGTGGTACTTACAAATACAAATTAATCCTAAAATAAATTTTTATCACAATTGCAAACTGTGTAATATACTTATAATTTGTCAAAGCAGTAAGTTAGTAGACACACAAGGCAAGGTTAGCGAATAAAACGAGCTGTTAGTATCCCAAACGTTTATTGCTCAAACCAAACGGCAAACATTTGTGTACAGGTGATGGCAACTCGCAAACGTGCGTTGGTAACAATGAGCGGTAACTATAGTCGAGAAACATTTCATTTTAGAATAAATAACTATTACAGAATATAAAAAAAATGTTAAAGAATGTAATAAAATTAAGTTCACTAATTTTATCGTGTTTAATTTTAATTTTTTTAATCTCCGATTTATTGGCCACTTTACAACACCCATGGCCATGAGGGACAGAGGTATGGACTTTCTGATCATCTGTCATAGTTAACAAAGGTCAATAATCATCAGAGAAGATTAAGAAGTTTTGTTTGAAACCGTTTTAAATTGTCGAAATGTATGGTAATGAAAATTATCGTATTCAAAAATGAAAGGTTTCTTGGATATAGGAATTCGATCCGTTGGGGGTGTCGAAACGTACAAACAACATAGAGTTGTTGGTGAATTCCTATCAATCTGATACATATTCAATTGTTAGTGGAAACTTGTACAAAAGCTATTCAAGTGACGGCCGCCACCAAGCGTCCTCCCCGACGAGACAATGCAAACAACTCACCGCTGGCCTGGCTGTCCGCGGAACTGCGCCGGCTCTCTGGCTTTTGCTGCTTCTCCATCTCCTGTTGATTCTCCGCTCTCTCTTTCTTCAATTCGCCGTTGAGTTTAGGGGACTCGTGGACGGAAACAGACTTGCTTTTGACCGACGATTCGCGGGCAACTGGGGAGTCATGGTCGCGGATCGAAACCGGAGACGCGGTGTTGACCGTGGGGGTGGGGAAGTCGCTCGCGGCCGTGGGTTCGCGCGCGCGGCGGCGGGCCGCGTCCCACTCGCGCTGCAGGCGCGCGGCGCGCTCGCGCACGTCGGCCGCCACGCCCAGCCGCCCGCACGCGCGCTCCAGCTCGCCGCAGCGCTCCAGCAACGCGCGCACCTCCGCCTCGTGCCGCTGCACCTCCTCCTGCCCGCACAACAACTATACTTACAATCACCATTATTATAATTACAGTCTTTTCAAATCCACACCTGAACATAGGCCGCTCCTAAGGAATGCCAAAAAGCACGCTCATAAGCCAAATGAATCCACCGACTGCATATTTCACCAGATTGTCACTCAATCTAGTGGTAGACCGCCCACCTCTTCGTCTACCGGTCTACTCATAGAATACTATAATACATACATAATAGAACGGGGGGAGTGGGTGGTGCCCGTATAGCCACTAACATGTCAATTCACACCTATAAATGTCAACACATCTCTTGACGTTATAATCGTTTCCAATTTTCGTATCAAGCGTCTCTGCATGCAAATTATTTAGAAAATGTCAAATTGCACACTATTTACAAATATGCATTAAAATTTAAACGTATCTTTTAATGATGATCTTGAACATTAATCAAAAGTCTAAAAAATGTGTAAATTTACTCAGTGTGTGAACACAGCGAATGGGGTTTATAGTAGTGATAATACAACGTAACTGCTCGCGGCGACGCCGATTCTCGTACAAAATAAGGTTGACAGCCATTCTATTGTGTATTATAGTATTCTATGGGTCTACTATCTGAAAATCTACTAAACTAATATTTTACAGACAGACAATAAAAAGCAGCACTGCTAACGCAATAATATCAAATTTGAACATAAGACTACTTGTGCTGCGACCGGAAATATTTAAAGATAAAGGTCTATTTTTTATAAAATGAGTACAGAAAACTAGTATGTAATCTACATGATGGTAACTGAATGCTATAATCTATAGGTATCTACATCTATCGTCAATCAGAAATCAAAATACACATACGTTATCATTTCGATGAGTAGGATAAAATACCTCGTTACTAATAAAAAGGTCTCTGATTGTTTACACACATCATAAGAAACACATTATTCCGCTTATATCTGTAAGATGAGCCAAGCTATTCATGATGCATCCGTAACATAACAAGAAGAGGAGGCATACAAATACAGATGTGTTAGCAGAATTGTGTAATGAAAATGAACATGTGTGCAGTTTTGCGGTGAGCACAGATGTAAGGATAGATATGTACGTGCGTGTGCGTGTGTACCTGCGTGTGCGTGTGTACCTGCGTGTGCGTGTGTACCTGCGTGTGCGTGTGTACCTGCGTGTGCGTGTGTACCTGCGTGTGCGTGTGTACCTGCGTGTGCGTGTGTACCTGCGTGTGCGTGTGTACCTGCGTGGCGTGTGTACCTGCGTGTGCGTGTGTACCTGCGTGTGCGTGTGTACCTGCGTGTGCGTGTGTACCTGCGTGTGCGTGTGTACCTGCGTGTGCGTGTGTACCTGCCGTGCGTGTACTGCGTGTGTACCTGCGTGTGCGCGGCGGCGAGCGTGCGCAGCGCGGCGTCCATGCGCTCGCGCAGCTGCGACAGCGCCGCCAGCCGCTCCGCTACGTAGCGCGCGTGCTCGCCCAGCTGCGCGCGCGCCTGCACACAAGCACGCTCGCAATAACACATCACATCAACAAACCAATTAACAGACCACCTGCCCCAAACACTTCTTTGTTTATATATAACCATTAAACCGGCTATTCAAATAAAAACTGTGTTACAGCTGTGGATCCCACTCCCACGGTAGCTAACACGGTAAGTACGCCACGCAGTAATATTTTTATTAAGCTATTGCATAGCTTCTATCGCGGGCCTTGAGCGCGGGGACCGAATCCAGAAATTCCGTAACGAAAAAAACCTCACGCTCCCCACTCCGACGGGCACAGAGGTGTGGCGTTGAAAGCCGTGCATCGTCTAACGTCGTTTCAGTTCGGCAGACTTCGGCACTCGGCAGAGTTCGGCACGGTGTTTGTGTGCGTGCGACTAGACGTATGCGTGTACACTAGTTGCTAACTCAATGATAAAAATTCCTGAATAACCTACATGTATTGTAAGATATTAAAAATATTTTAAACAATATTAACTTCTCATTTATTCAATAAGAGAAAATAAATTGTTTTCTTATCGGTCACCACGCTCAAAAAGTGTAACTTGATTTAATATCAAAGACTTAACTGCATAAATAAAATAAATTAATAATTATAATTGCATAAGTTGATAAAAAATGCTATGCAATAGCTTTACCGCGGCAGTCACCGAGTGCCACACGTATTTTTTACAAACGTTACTGTTTTAGGTAAATACGGAATAATGTTACATACTGCTCTAAAATAAAATTCGAATCACGTTGACAAAGTGCGCACATAAATAATAACAGCCTTCTCCAAATCACATTTTACAAAATCGATGTCATTTTCAAAAGCAACGTTCGCGATTTACATAACAAAGAACTAATCACCGTAACTTAGTGCTCAATATGTTAGTATCGTAGTTCCATCCGGTAACTTACATAAAAGTCTTTAATTTTATCACACCTATTTTTACATTCCTGATGTTTCGATTGCTTTACAACACCCATAGTCAAAGTCTCATAACATAACACTAACACCTTATATTATTAATTATTAACAAAGACGTGGAGAATACGAATCAACATTAGCATTTTTGACTATAAATGTAAACACACTCGGCAGGTAGGTCTATCTTTCTTAATGCAACATAATAAAAAATAGTTTTAGTTTACCTTAGCAATAATGTTGCTTCAAAAGTATTCTGATGAAATTTATCTAAAATTATATTATAAAAACAATAAAACAGAAGCTTCAAAGACAGGTAATCATAATTTCAATAAATATCTTCATCGACTTCATACAACATTCTGCTAATTCAATATGTCGTCGTAAACGTAACAAACTGACACATAAACATATCTTCAGAATTATATAACCTATACAGAACCTAAATTTACCAAGGACGTATTTCGTCGTAGCTATTTTATCTGTATGACTATATCCAAACACTAAGTAACAATTATCATGATATGTTGACATTTATAAGTGCTAAAGTCTGCAAGAAAAAAGATATTTGATTGGTTAAAAATATTTTCTTGTATAATAAAGAATTCAAATAGAGAAACATAATAAATAATAGTCACCATTTATACTGTGATATTAAACGTAATGTAGTCTTATAACATTTGAAACCAGTGGACAATGCCACAACAAACGAATATAATGATAAGGTTCAAAGAAACTCTGTACTATATAAAGCAGAGGTAGTAAAGTTTAATGAACAGTTAGCTGGTTACCTGGTCCAGGTCCTGCAGCAGCTGCGCGTGCTGCGGGTGCGGCTGCTGCTGCTGCGCGGCCGCGCGCGTGGCGTCCGCCAGCTCCTCCTCGCGCGCCTGCGGATCCACACACGTTCTACACCGGCTCCGACCCACTCGCCCCCACACGTCCTCACAACACACTTATTCGCTTAGGACTATATTAGGCTATAGACTTAGGGTCTTTCAACACTCGTTTCTAGTTTTTAAAGGCCGTTGTTCATGATCGTCAGCCGAACCTTGCCATCAGGTGAACTTTTTGCCCACCCCGTATTGTATTATATTAAAACTAATTAATAAATATACATATATAACTTTTCTTATATGGTATATCTGTTTAAGTTGTTTTTCTTTTAATTTAGTTATATGTCTAATGATTAATTTATTTATAAATATTTAAACTTAAGTGTCTTATAATGCGTATGGAGTGTTTGTAATAAATGTTTCTTTCTTTCTTATCTTTTAATATTATTCTGTTACAAAGCGACCCATCCTTCCCAGATCTTGGAGTAGTCAAAATAATATTAGAAAATTATTTTTCAAGATTCACTTTCTGCACAAATGAAAAGAGTAAATTGTTTCCGGAATAAGGGTGATAATAATGATGAGATGTTGTTCACAACAAAATAATACTTCAACGCGCGGCCGCTGCGCGCCGTTCGGTATTAACAAATAAGCCAGAAATAAAAAGAACAAGTAAACATTGACATAAAGAATGCATCAATTTAGCTTCTCATAATTCACAACATTTGAAGCTTCAAATTTACTTGCTCAGTAATGTCTATCATGTACAATAGTATTAAAACGTGAATCGTTTTTTTTTTTAATGATAAAATGAACTGCAATGCAACCACACCTGGTAGGCTTAAAAACCTTTTAGCCCGCTCCTGTCATTAAGCAACTGTCTCTTAATCCATTATAATATAACAGCAAACAGTTTTATAATAAAACGCTCAGCGTCCGCTAGCTTCTGCAACGCCTTCTACAGTGTTACCTTCCGTCACCGGTCTGGTCACTACAGCTCTTACATACATGTTTGTGGTTTCTTCCGACAACATTACAAACCTACTAAATAATGTTTATTCGACTTTTTGTATACCACCCTCTTAAAAGGGTTGGTAGTTTCGGTACTTCTCCCATAGTATTAAAAAAATCGACAATGTTTTTATTCAGTCCTCGCTTCCATAATGACAATATTAAACAGTTTATATATAATTTTTTACATATTTTATTTTATTACTTAGTGCAATTTAATTGATTGTATTCAATCTGTAAAATGTCATTACAAACTGAAGTAAGATTTTATAGTTGGTTATACTATGCAGCTATGCACATGTGAAGGAAACATTCCATTTCTGTATAAATACAATTGGTATAGTTAATACTCCGGTCCATATTTGTGTAACATTTTCATAAAGCGTTACCTTTGTTTCCCAAAATTTATGTTTTATACATGTGACGGGTAAAACGTTGCCGACTCACAACTCGATTTTATTGTTATCAAGCACGACTAATACATCAGTAGCAAGTCCATGGCTTGCTGCCTACAGTACATTTAACAAAACTTTCTGAATACAACAACTAACACCAGGAGTCAACTAGCGCGCAGCTATAGCACGCTTCAGCTCGGATCGACTGAGCACGCGCACCAAATTTCATTTCAATTCTCGATTAACTGAACATTACTCGCTCGTCTCATCTTCTCGAACTACGTATTCCAGCGCTTTTAAATTGAGATTGCAACTTGCTTCACGCGGACTTGTGTCAGTTTGGAGGTGGAGCATAAACAGACGATGTGACAGAAATATTTCATAGCTTCAGAAATAGAGACACGACGCTCGCGCGCGGTGCCACGCAACGCCGATTTACATTTTTTCCCTTTTACAGCGTATTACGTACAAGTTGAATGACTCCATAATACTTACTAATAGTAATACAAGACAGAACAACCTAGAAAATTGTAAAACAAATAATTCTATACATGTTTTTCTTATTTTTGTTTATAAAAGATACCCGAATTTTCGAAATTTTAACATCTTTCTTGAATTAGCACAGCGGAGTCCGAAATAAGAACCCGTTATGTAGTTCATATTGAACATTGCATTTTGTACAATGGTGTATTATAATAATAGGGGATGAATGGGGGGATAGGGGACAAACGGGCACACAGTCCACCTGATGGTAAGTGGATGCTGTGGCCCATAGACATCTACATTTATCCTCGATTTAGAATCATGCGTTGTCATCCCTGAGGACTAAGATGGAATGCCTTACTTACAGTAAAAAAGGGTCTCCGGATCTCTACACTCACCATACGAAACACAGCAGTATTAAGCTTCTATTTTAAGCTAGTAGTCTGTGAGAGCGTGGTCCTACCTCGGTCAAGCCGAACGATTCGTACTACGTATATAATTTGTGGTATAAAATTCAATGGCTACTGAATAAGTCGTCCAACGTTCGCCATCAAATCCTTTTTTTTTCGTTAATTTTTAGTCAGATCGACCTAGCCTCTACCGATTACCATTTTCCCCGCAATTTGTACAATTTCACTGAAAGGAAAAAAATTGTTCACAGTAAGCTGCACAGAATGCCATCATACTTTGTAGTCCTGACCCTCAAAGTTCCGTAGTAAAATCATAAATTATCTACCAGCGAGATATCATAAATGTATAGATAGATTATGGGGATAAATACTCCGATTAAATAAGTATATAATGTCTCAGTAGTTTGATTTTTTATAAATAATGGCAATTATTATAAATAAAGTTCGACTTTAACACTAATATATCAATGATTATTACACATTTTTTTCCTTTTCATACGGACGAATAATCTAACCGTGATTATTTATGTGAGTGTTCAATCCTGTACAAAAACAAAGGCTGTTTCATTACACTCGTACCGGCGATGAGCAGACGGGCAGCAGCGTCGTACGAACACAGAACACTATTACTCCTATCGGAGCGTACGAACGTCACTCAATAAGTTTTGAGATACTCGAAATTTAAAAATAGAACGCATTTGTATTATATTTTTCTAAAAAGCAAATTTTATAAAAATGGAACTCCATATTAAGCCGATAGCTAATATAAAAAAGCAAAGTTCTATTAACTTTCCTGCGACGCTTCCCGCGCTGTTCATTTCAACAATGGATCCCCGTGAACATTTGCGCGCTATTATCTATTATGATTTGAAATTTGGTTTAACCGAACAATTAAGTTTACAACAGTTACAATCAGCATTAAGGGACTCAGCTCCATCACGCGCAACAATTTTTAGGTGATTTGCTAAATTCAAAAGGGGTAAAATTAACCTTAAAGATAACCAAA